TGAGATTTGTTTGACTGTTGCACCCAATCATGCCTGATGTTCTGCATCTTTGATCTGCCTCTCTAATTAATAAAAGGAAAAGCTGTGAAACTTCAGAAAATTGTTGTCTACTGCCAGTCCTTTTGATCTAAGATAGAAAAAAAAATGCTGGAGGTTGTAATGAAATCCACTGGCCTGTTTTTAATTTGGTAAGACGGGATAAAAAGGCTGCTTCAACTTCATCATGACTGTCACAGGTTGCTTGGTCCAAACAAAATTAAAAGGGTCCTCTTCTCAACCTTGCATTTTTGATACGTTCGCATATTTAGCAGATGCTTTTGTCCAATGTGAGGAAAGTTTTTGAGGTCAGAGAGAGAAGCTCTTATGGTGAAAGGATTTCTTCATGGATCCAACAGTGATATGGCTACATTGCCAACCATGGGATCTAAACACACAACCATCAGGACACAAGCACAGATCGCTAACTTGCTGAGCAATATAAACTACATGCATGTGCATTTGCTTTCTTTCACATTTCTTTAACGTATACACCACCATTACTCTATAATCTTTAAGAAATCATCTGTCAAAAGCAGCATCACTGTCATGCATCAACAACACTTGTGTGCATTGAGGGAAATGTTGGTGGTTTTCTGACAGACACTTGTCTTTATTTGAACAAAAGGCTGTACTCAAATAAGCTGGGAAACACGTCCCATTAGACAATGTGAAACAACACTTTTAAGCACATATATAGCATCATCCACTTTTAATTAGCAAAACAAAAACACCATGCTTGTCATTTTAACATTAAGTTATATTCCAATCTTTGAAAACCTCTCAGACTCAAAAAAGTGCAAATATATACAAAACACTTCATTGCAGCCAGCGTTTCAAAGGATTCATTACTACAACGCTTTCAAACAAATAAACGAAAAAGAACAATAATTTAAAAAGAAACATTTAAACAAATAATTATACAAAATATATTTATATATTTATATATAATTAAGGACTAGGCAGAGCAATCACCCATCTCTCAAGTAGTCACTCACAAAGCCTCTTCCCCTCTGGACACACCATTAATATATTCCATATATCTTCCAAATTGTAAACAAGTCTGTTACGTCAAAATGGATTCAAACATTTGGGATAAACAAACAAAGCCGACGAATAAATTATAAGAAACTCTGAGACGAATGTTTAACTAGAACACTGACTGAAATGTAGTCTGGACCTAAAACCGACAAATACCTTCTACAGAATCTACTGAGAAACACCACAAGTTTGCACTGAGTCTCTCCCCCCCCCCATAATGGTTACAGGTGCCTATTTTATTTCGATGTGTATACCACGTCACGATAACAGATCAAAGCATCTGCGGTGGCTCGGAGTTCCGTAGGCCGCCCCCCACCCCGTAGCTGGCCCTTCTCCGAATGACCCCCCCCCCCCCACACACACACACACACGGCTGAAGCCCTCACTATACTTCCCATTTCACTGCCACCCCAAAAGCTGACAGTCCGTTTCTGCATACGAGGCTCAGACTGGCAGCACCCACGGATACAACTCATGGAAAGTTACCACCTGAAAAGCGTTAAATACGATTCATCACCCCCCCCCTCCACGCTCCTCAGATTTATTATTATTTTTCATTTCAGAAAGTGGCTCCATCAAAGCACCGATTAATTCGAAATGTTCCGACAATGCTGACACAGCAGCACTGCAGCCACTTAGACCCAAAGCGTTACTTCCTCTCAGGCTAAACCACCACAGAACAAGAGGCCAATACAGTGACCCAATTTCCATCCTTGAAAAACAGGATAAACACAAAAATGCTCATTAAAGATCATTCCTACATGATTATCCCTACTGCTTTTTAAATATTGTATGAGCTTGAAAATCTGTATGCAAATGTCTGGTCTCCAAAAACCACGGTAAAGTTACCAGACGCTCAAAAGTCTGACTAGGGTCTTACTTGCAGTTTCCTTCCATTGGCAATGTGGAAAGACTGCTTTTCCGCTCTGCTGATTTAATTAGATCTAATGTGTAATGTGGGAAAAGAGGTCTGCAATCTTTCTGGGCGAGATCTGATATGCAAGTCTAATTAACCTCCATTGATTGAGGTGATTCAGCTCTGCGTTAAATGTGGACAGTTAACCTGTGTATAAAATCTAGTGCTGCAGGACAGTCTTCAGTTTTTGTGATTTAATCAGATCGTGAGTACAGTGATAATGGATACACCACTGCTACGCCTGGGAACCGCTCCTCAAACCCAGGCAAAAACATTGGCCGTTGATGAGCTCCCAACTAAGGCAGTCTTACGAATTTTGTGACCGACTTCCCAACAAATCTCAGCCTCCACAGGCATTTGTTCCTCTTCACGAGGCCCCGGCTAACAATCACACATGAACCAGATGCATCGCTAATCATGAGAGAAGCTGCGCCCGCCGGAAAACCGCGTGGTTCGCCTGCAAACACCCAGCCCAAAAAAGCCTGCGGCGTTTCCCGTAGAACCGACACGAGGAACACGACCCGCAATCCATCTGCGTCGACCTGGAACAGATCGTGATGCAGACAATTAAGTCTGATTGCAATCAGACGACTTTGTCGGGTATTAACGACTCACACACGAGACCTGGATCAAGCATAGTATGGTGCTGCAATTTCACAGTGTTCTCAGTTAAACCACAAAGTGAAACAGAAAAAAGAATTCGGCACTCAATTCTTTAAAGTCTTTCTCATGTCCTGCTTAATACCTAGCTGTGGTGGAACGTGCACAGGAATGTAGCCAATCGACCAATATGCTTTTTCCACTACAATTTTGCTACAGTGTTTTTTTGTCCCCAGTGACAGGAGTGTATCTGTTCTCAAGCTGTAACTCTTCAAATTCGCTGTCACTTTAATTTCGTATGGACATTGTGTAATGCACGTTTGAACACTAGGTATATACTGTATCAGATCCCACTGACTTGTAGTCCTGCAAACCAAATCTTTTGGTTAACCCACTGCTCAGCTTTCACAGCTTATAAAAGACAAGATCAAGTATGAGACTCAGCCATCGATACTGCACATTGTTTTAAAGAAAACAATGTGCATCCTATGGTTATACAAATAAATACATAATAAATACAACACAATAAATACTCCATTGTCTGTAAGGCCAGAACTCAGAACCACAACTAAAGAAAAAATGTTAAAAGCAGACTAATATCGCCAGGAACATTTCACCTTTAACTCCTTCTGTGTGTTTGATCTCCCAGCAGATCTGATGCAGGGTTATAGAGCCTGTGGACCAGCGTCCGCACAGACCATGACTACATGGGGACCACTGCTGCCGTGGAAACAGTCCTCACAGAGAAACAGCATCACAAACTACACCAAAACTCAGGGCCACACGTATGTACGCCCTGAGTATGTAATATTTTTAAAACGCATGGTAAACTGGCTTACTTTTTCCAATAATCATTTTATATTAACCTCTATAGCCTTGTAAAAAATGTAAAATTGACTCTGATTGGACTGACATTGTACCGAGATGATGATTAAAATGGTTGACACCAGTACGTATCTCACATTACAAATGGGTCAATTTTATTTATTTTTTTAAAAGGTGGCAACACACATAACTAAAAAGCCCCCTAACCAATCGTCACACAGTGTTTGTGGCTGTAGTTGAAAACGAAACTAACCAGAGCCAAACGCACAAGTAACGCTGCACCCCGCCCGCCTTATTTTGTGCTTGGTGCTGTACCGTCACTCTCGATATGGCGAGACTGCAGCAACGCCGGGCCCAACAAAAGCCGCCCGCGCATGTGGCTGCAGCAGAGCACCATCTTCCCCGGGATGCTGCCCGGCAGAGGATGACGGGCTTGACAGCGCCCCCCAGGGGATCCCCTAGTCACGGCTCACTGCAGAACAAACGCTTATTGCTCTTGGTGCATCGGCTCGATTTGGGACGCGCGGTATCTGTGACGGCTGTGCTCTCCACGCCAGCAAATGTGCGCTGTCTGTGGAATGTGATACTGTCTAACCTTTTTGTTGTCTTCTTTCCTTCCCTTTTGCTCTGGATACACGGCGGTGCAGGGCACAGGAGTGAGGCGCAGTCGGGCGGCCAGTCGGGGGAAACCGGGCCTTTTGGGGAGCACCGAATTCCAACAGGGACACTACAAAGACGAGCCATTCAGCACCCCGTGTGCGTTACCTTATCGGAACAGGCCAGCAGCCACCTTCCTATACAGAGTCCTTTTTGGCCCCAAATTCAAGTAAAAAAATAAAATAAAAAAGGCGTCTCTTTAGGTCTATGGTATCGGAGGAGCAGACAGGCGACCGCCTACACCGAGCCCCAAACGCTCCCTTTAATGCTGTCATTTCAGGCCACTGCTGATCCCAAAGTTTGGCCTTGTCTGTCGATTCGGTGTTTTTTTTTTTTTTTCTTGAGAGGAACCAGACCTTCCCTTTTATTGCACAAAGGAAGAAGGTCCAAGGTTTCACCTCTAGTCTGACTGGAACCAGGAGAACCATCGTATGAGCAATAGCCATCATTTTCAAGACAGAATGCCCAGTCCATGTTCTGTTCCGGGATGTCGGCAGAGAATGCATGTATTATTTTATTACTTTACCAAGACCATTATCATTCTCATTATCATCCCAGACCAAAACTATCCTTTTTCCATGGCACTAGCTTGGCAATTCAGCACAGTTTCCAAGGCAACTGCATATATGCCTTTCATGGAATGTATCTCATAAAATACATAGCAGTCCACATCCATACAATTAGGCAGTCTCTCACAACAAAAAACCAGTATAGAGGGGGGAACAAAAATCTGCAGGTCTCACTGGCATAGCAGATAAAAGTCTAGGGGGCTGAGGGTTTGGCCACACGGTCTGGTCCAGAAGCAGTGGGCTCGACAAGCTGTGCTGTGGTCCTTGGTGTTGATTGTCCAGTGTCCCCCCTATCAGCACACACTGTGGATGTCCAAACAGAAGACACCAGTCCCCGCCATCCTCCCCCACCCCCCCCGCACCCCTCTCCCTCACACCCTGTTCCGTGCCACTGACTCAGCTGCTGCCCGACATCAGGTTGATGGCTTGTTCCAGTTTGTGCCTCAGTTTGTGTTTGCGGCAGTATCCGTCACGGTCTAGTGCTGTCAGAATCTGGAGAGGGGACACAAGAGGAGTCCAGTGTTAGCAGCCATAGCACCTGCAGTTCAGCCTAAGCAATCCATCTGAAGCTACGCAGGTTTGGGCCTGGCCAGTACTTGGATGGGAGACCAATTATGAAAGCTGGGTATCTGCTGGAAGAGGTGTTAGTGTGGCCAGCAGGGAAGCCCATCCTGTGGTCTGCGTGGATCCCAGTGCTGCAGTGCAGTGATGGGGACACTGTGCTGTACAAATGGTGTCATCCTTCAGATGAGACAGAAAACTGAAGTCCTGACCCTCAGAAGCTGTTCTAAACAAACCCTCAGAATCTTTTGAAAGAGTAGGGGTGACACCCCAATGCCCTGGCTAAAATGCCCACTGTGGCCCTTTCAAATCAGGCCTCCCAATCATCCCCTATATCTAACGGGTGAATTCTATCCTGCCCCTTCACCACCTTAGCTACTGTGTGGTGAGCGTACTGGTGAAGAATGGCTGCTGTCGCATCATCCAGGTGGGTGTTACATGGTGGTGGTGGGGGAAGTGGCCCGCCACAGGTTCTGTAAAGCGCTTTATAGATGTAAAATTCATTCATTCATTGTGACCTCTAGCTACACTCTGCCACTAAAGCCTCAGGAAGCTGGGTACAATTAAGGTTTACTGGTTTCACAGTAAACCATGGTAAAATTGATTTCGGCTAATATTACCATTTCCAATATTATTTATCATCAAAACCGTGGCTCATTACCGTGTTTTGAAAAACTCCTGTGAAATACTGTCCAGCATCAAACAAAGTCTCCCAGATGTAGCTGTGCAGGTGCAACGTGGGCTTGTTTTGTATTAGTGAAAACATAGTGGAAGGCAGTTTCATGTGTTTATATAAGATATTGCCTATGTTATTATTTTAGTGTTTATACAAACAAAAAGCACATAGTGCCGCTAATTTATTTGTGGTTTTTAATATAAAACTTGGTGAAATCATTTCAGTTTGTGTATCAGTACTTTTTGAACATTTTCGGCACATTTTAAGAATACTACTAATACTGATAACCGGGATTTTTGATCACTATAATTGTGATATTAAATTTTCATACCATTTCATGTCTAATTAAGAATAAGAAAAAATAACGGCTTTACTCAAAGAATCCGGTTGGCATGTGTAATCTATATCTGACCGGCATCTGATTGGCACCCCCTCCCAAAAAACGGGGCCGGCGTGGGGGAGACCCACCTCCTCTTTGTACTTGTTGATGTAGAAGTAGAGCTCGCTGAGGGCGCTGAGTGTGTTGAACTCGTTGGCGTGTAAGCGGGACTGCTCCACCAGATAGGCGTCCATATCCTGGTCACTGATGCTGGGCATCTTACCGATGTCTCGGTAGTACCTGAGTCAAACGAGCAGGCAACATGGAACATGAAATCTAAAGGGAAACATCTCACCCACTTTGACCTTTCAAAGAAACCTCAGAATGGCCCACAAGAAATGCACAAAAAAAACAGTATAGAACACAGTCTATACTTTTAAAATTCAATTTACATTTCTTGCACTGCTATGCCTCATCTTTGTGCCACGTTTGCACTTTCGGTTGACCAGTATGCACCATATTGTCTAGTCACTGTGTATGTGTTGTACCTGAAGTATACTGTCTATGTACATGATAGAATGGAAAATGTTGTTGAGTAAATATAGCACCATGGGACTCAGGGAGACGATATTTTGTCCTGGGTGTGTATATGCGACTTAAGTGGCTAACAACACAGATCTTGTGAATTGTGGAGTGTTCAGTATTGTTAGGCAGTAATGAAATCCTTCACTATGAATTAGTAATCTTTCACCAGGACCGATCAAATTTACCCTCAAGTTGAGGTCTAAATTTTAAAAAAGGATTTTAGGTCTGTAATGTAACAAGTGATATATCATTAATAATTACTTCCTAAATATTCCTAAAAAAAATACTTGGGCAATGGAGCTCGTTCTGAAAAGGGAACAAAAGCTACAGAAGAGCATTATGTTCCTACCGCTCTACCCAGCTCTTGTAGTTGGGGATGTCCTTGGCGTAGAGCAGCTTGTTGGAGGGCGAGTCTTTGCCCAGCCGGTGCTCGGAGGTGGAGCACGAATCCATGAAGGTCTGAGCCACCACCGACAGGCAGGCGTCCGTGATGCTGTTCTTGTGGATGTCGAACACGAACTGGGGGTTCTTGATGACGTTTACCCAGAAACGCAGAGGCAGGCTGTCGAAGGGAGTTGAGAGAATGCGGGATGGACAGGAAGAAACCGTTAAGAAGTGTGGCGACCAGAGACATTCAGAAGGTGGCGACTGAATACATGTTCAGCAAACAACTTAAAGAAGCAGCTGCCCTTTTTAGAGTGTAGGTGATACTTGGTTATTGTCACTTAGAATCTCAACAGCAAAAACCTTTCCTTGCACCATGCAAGACCAAACTAGCATTGCAAAATGAGTGATGCAATGGTAGGTTTCTACCAGCTACTGGCTTCTGTGTATGCAAGCATGAGATGATGAGGTGATGGAAGACTGGGTGGGGGGGGAGGGCTTCTCACCAATTGCTCTTCCAGGTGTGTCGCACATCGGGGTCACTGATCTGTCGCCGGTCAGCCTGCTCGTCCAGGAAGTCGAACATGTACTTGATGGCGAGGGGGAGGGCACTGCCACGATGGGCGGTGCTGAACACAGTCTCAAACAGGTCATCCACGAACTTCTGCAGCGTGCCCTGTGGCGGCAGTCGGAGATGGGGTGAGTGGAGTGGAGGACTCATCACACCGATGGCTGTGGGGAGGGGGGGGGTTGGGGGGAACGGCACTCACCTTGGTGGCCAGGAGGCGGGTCAGGTAGATCTCGGACACCATCTTGCTGCCACGGTCGCCTTCACGCTGGTCTGCATGCTCGTGGTTCTTGACAAGGTGCCACAGTTTGGTGCCCGTCTCCTGGTCGGGGGTGATCATGGGGGCTCTGGAACGTAGGCTGTCCGGGCTACTGGATGTCCTCAGGAGACTCTCTTATAAACACACATTGACCACCGTCAGGTTCCCACAAGGACGCTGGGAACGGTTTGCGTTTCTGCTGGCAACTTGGTGATACTAATTACTTTCTGTGGACATCTTTTACAATGGCACAGTGGGGTGTTTGAAGGAACATCTACCTGCTACTGCACTTACTACTAAGCTGGAGATGTGAGCCGTATCCAACCTACACCCACGCTGACATGGTCCTGCTTACTATCATGGCCAAAAGTGTGCCTAATCTCAGCTGGCTGTGCCACCGCCATTAGACCATCGGGTCAAAGTGCACACAGATTGTGCTGCTTGAAAAACACTTGCATGACCCATTGAGGATTCACACACAATGGAGAAGGAGAATGCGAGATCCTCCCCGGTGTCCACGATGCGGCATGAATGCCAGTGGGTGAAGTCCATGCTGAATGGCGGGGGCTGTTTACCGTATCTGCTGAGGGAGCGTGTGAAGGTGAAGGAGTTGGCAATGTTGTAGGCTGAGACCTGCTTCTGAACCAGGGCCACCAGGGAGCCCTCAGTCACCTACAAGAAGAGTCACGTTAATAAGGTCAGGCCCTGGAAGATGGATAGACATCATTCCCTCTGTCTACTAAGATTAAGTAGCAATGAATTGGCTTCTAAATAAACCTTATAACTTATTTAGAACTAATTATCTTAGTTCCATGTATGCATGTTCATTTATCTTATCTCACTTAAGCAGACTTAAGTGAATAATTACATTAATTGATTAATAAATAATTTTTATGCACCAGACAGATCTCATGGCGGTTTTAGGATGTAGATTCAGGTTCCAGTGTCACTGTCGTGGTGTAACTAACCTGGTAATGGGCCAGAGTGTTGAGTCGTTTCCAGTCACTTTCGATTTTGGTAGTGATATCCTCATCTTGGAGAATGATTCGGGTAAGTCGCCCCTGTCTCCACTCTGAAGGGACAAAAGGCTTATTTATGCAAAAATGATCATTCCCATAATTCATTTCTACGTTGCTTGCGGGTATAACCACACCTTTCTGGTTATGATGAAAAGTAACAGTAATGGATTCAAATTAAAGGATGATGTATAAAATGTATAGTTTATATTTGCATTAAACTGGGGAAAATATTTACCATAAACCTAGTTGTAATATTAATATTAATTAGCAGTTGCTTGGAAAAACTTGGCTGGCCACGCAGCAGCCTATGAAGGAAGAATGACGAATAGTTTTCTGAGCTTTGAAACCCAAAAATGCAGAGTTTGCTCCACTTTATGGAATTAATATTGCAACATTTCTAAATATTTCAGAAGAGGAAAAGAAAAGTGCTTACCCAAACGTGTTCTTTTATTCATAACCTACAGGCAGCTGCTATTCTGAGCTTGCCTTGCGCAGTTAATAAAGACAGAGGGCCAGCACTGCAGAGACGGGCTTACCCAGGTCCATGTCCTCGGCCTGGGGCCGCTGTGAGTATGGGATGCCTTTATACACGGCGTCCAGCAGCTTGTCCTTCACCTGGGTCACTGTGTCGCAGTTCAGCACCTTCACTGGGATCTCAGTGCCCGCCTCACCCTCAGGGGGTATGCACATCAGGGTCTGAGGAAGAGGAGTAGGAGGAAGGGCGCACAGTGACAGGTTAC